ATCCACATGTGGCATAGGGTTGCAATTGTGGAGAATACATAAAGAGCACTGCAAATATTCTATTGCTATGTTGCGCATTGGGTCCGACGATACCTTTATAACTTTTCTCTCATAAAAAAAGCCTTAAACGTATTTTAACAAATTTTTTTTTAAAATCAAAAATACATAAAGAAACATTGTTTATTTCAAATTTAAACAAAACAAAAAAGTTTTTAATTACATATACATATAAATTTTTTTTGCTCTTTTTAGACTACGATGTGTTCCCGTTTTTGTTTTCTTTATAAGGTGTTAAACATAAACTTAAGTGCAATTCAAAAAGTTGATAAAAACATCAATCATTTAAATTTTGCAAAAACAGTTTTTTTTTTTTTCTTTTTTAGTAGAATTTCATTTGGTTTATGAAATCTGTCCTTTTAATGAAATTGTTGAAATATAAAATTCAACTGTCTAGCTTCGTTAACTCAAACAGCATTAAAAACCTTATTGGCGCAGGGTCTACTGCAATATTCAAGCTCTTGGCGCGATTCCCTCTTTACTATTCATTTTTGCCTGCGTTCGCCTTTGGGATTTCACTCATTCGCAATTCTCTCTCATCCAAGCTATCGTTTCCTTTAATCTGTCTCTGCACGCATGAATTTGCAATGGATTATTCTAATACATAAACCAGTTGTATTAAGCAAAATCCACTCTTATATTAAACAGACGAACTTTAGATTTTTCTGCTTTTATAATTCTTCTCTTTTATTTTAATTATTACGTTAAGAAATTATGAAAAGAAAATCGTGTTAGCGGTGTTGTGCTATTTCATGATTTATTGTTCCTTGCCAAAGACAAATGATAACATTAGACCGAGAGAAACTCCGTCCACTTAAATACATGAACGTTGCAATTGTTAACAAAACTACTGACGGCGAGGTGAAGCTACGCAGACTGGAAGTCAATACTATTGTTGTGTCCTTTAACTGTTTTGTAGTGTCATAAATCCAGCATGAACAATTCGTCACGTAATCAAAAAAAGTTGTAATTGCTTTTCTTTCTCATTAATGTGGTTGTTGTTTTTATAATTACCAACGCACAACAATTCCTTTTTTTTGCTCGTTTTTAATAATTTGCATTACAAATTTAGTTTGCTTCGATACTGATTTATCCCAATTAAAGAGACCATCGCTTTTTTTCCATATGGCTTTTTACATCAATTAATATCTCAGCCCATGTTTGTCCCACTTTATTATGGCATTAAGGAGTTTTTAAGCTTTTTGACATAAATGATCTCCAATGCTTCAATTAGCCGCTTTTAAATGGCTTAATTTCTTTCCTTTTATTGACAAAACTCGTATTGCAACCATCGACGATTTCTTAGGGTAATTTTTTTCATTTTTATAATCGCATAACTTCTTATATGCTTGTAAAGATATACGCCGTTGTGGTTATAACTACATATAAAATGAAAATGTTGAGAAAATTTCATTTTCACATTTGTTTAAGTCCGTCCTTCTTCTAAGTGAATTCTCGATTAACATTTTTATAAGCATAAGTTTATGTGCGTTCAATTCGTGTGAAAAACATTCCCAAGTTTATCAACACAATGAATATAGAGCGCAATAATGCAGGTGAGTTCAGTTTCATTTTTGCTAAATAACTTTCAAATTGTTTTAAACCCTTTTAAAATATTTACATGCCTAACAATTCACACGCCGAACACAAATAACAAATAACAAATAACAAATTTTTATATGTTTGGATATTTCTTATATTTTGCATTTCTTTCTTTTTCCATGCATGCCTTTCTCTCATGCCCGTCAATTATTTTGCTCATTTTTCGTCATTGCTATTATCGATCCTGCAATCTACGGGGTTGTATTAGTAACTAATGTTACAACATAAAAACAAAGGTTACAATTGGCGTATAGTAAGAGAAACAGTTCTGGCTGACTAAATAAGTCATTTTTGCGAATATTTGTAGAAAGATTTAACTTCGTTTGTAAACTTGCGGAATTTAACAACGGCTTTGACACTAGTTGGCAGAGAGCTCTATAATTTTACACTCCCGACGAAAACAATATTGATTATGGTAGGTAATTGTTGCCTGGTAGCATTGGATTCATCATAAATTTGGGTATTACGAAATGAAGTTTAACGCAAAAATATCTCGTAATACGAATAACATGAATAAACATATGAAATAAAGTTAATTTCCTAATATCTAAGTAAGCCGGTATTTATATCCGAAGTTTTTGATATCAAAAAAACTGCTCTTCGATATCATATTCGTGCTTGTTGAGGACATATTTCGTATTTTAATTTATGATGACTTGGAGTTTATATTTCTACACATAAACACGTAACAACTAAATTAATTTCATGTAAATTTCTACATTAGATTCGGAATATAAATTAACATGTCAACGGCAAACCACTAATTAATGTTAATTTGCTTTCTATTGGAACAAAACATAAGGAAAGCTAAAGTGTTGTTAAATTATTACGTATCCTCACAATTTCAAGGTTAGCATGATCTAAAGCTGTAAGGCTCGGGTTTGAACACGATCAATTTCGTATTCTTTTTGTTCATTTTCATTCAAAGCGTTGCTATTTATTCGCACAAGATAATAATACACGTTGTGGGAAATTTGTGTTACACTTTTTGGGAATTATGGCTAACGTTTGTTTTCAGCTGAATTTAAAATTAAATTATTTAAAGTAGACCAATGTTTAATCCCATCTGTCGTACTTTATAGAGAACAAATCAGTTTGATACACCACGCCTCCACAACTTTACAGGCAACGAAACAAAAGGAAACAATGGGAAAAAATTTCAATTTATCGATATTTATTTTCGTGGCCACTCCCATTAGAATGTCGGATAGCGAGTCATTAACGGCAAAGATTTCCCAATAAAAAGCTTTTGTTGATTTGGTTTTATTTAATATTTCCAATTCGTACAATTAACACATATATGTTAAAATAACATATGTTATAAGATAAAAACATACATAACATAAGGAGAAAAAGTATTCATAAAATACATAGCGATTATTAAGCGCTGAAGTATAAGAAAAAGTATAATTTTTAATAGAGTTTTTACAGCTCTTGAATTTCAAGTGTAAATATATTTAATAATATGAAGAAAAATATTACGTATATACTTAGCTTAGGTATATAAAATAAAAACAAAAAATATAAATCGATTAAGTTACAAATTTTACAACAGAACGTTTTCGCAATTTTATCTAATTTAAAAAACAGTTTTTTGATATAAATTGTTATCAGCTCACTAAAGCCTATTTATTAAAAAAGAAGAATTACGGTTTAAGAATATACATTTTTTTTAACGAAGTATTAGAAAATATAAAAAAAGACAGAACATCCGTGAAAAGTAAAGCCCAAACATTATATTTTATTTAAAAAAATTACAAATTTATATAAAATATAATTGTTAAACACATTAAAAGAAAAAAAATATAATAATACAATAAAAAATATTATCATACAATAAACTGTTATTAATTTTATAAGTTTTGTATTTTAAAAATTAAAAATTCTCAACAATTATTTCGTTTAATTTTATGTACTTCTTTTAACAATTTTTTATGTAAACTTTTTTTTTTGTTTAAGCCAAAATATATATAGGCCTTCGAGGTTACGTTAATCAAACATCATTAAAATGCAATGATTTCTGACTTATTAACAATTATTAAGAAAACAATTTATTATTGACCAGTGCACATCCAAAACCTTTACAAACGTGTACGTGACCAATCTGAATATGTCGGTACTAATGAGGATATATCGGACTCAAATAAAATGAAGAGCCTTTTTAGAAGCTTAAAAGCATTTATCTTTATATATGTTACTTTAACGTATAAAGAGCGAAACTTATACTGAACTCATATGAATGTATCTAAAGTAGCTTTACCTTTTATAATGGAAAAAAAGTTTTTGTTAAAAGAATAATTTAATAAATATTCTGATTTTTTAAGGACGTAGTCGCTTAACGCTGGAGTTTATTCTTTATCTATTCGTTTGTCTAATCTGTTCTAATATACATTGTGTCAAAGAAGAAGCTTAAAAAAGTATAATGTGCATTACTTTGATATACACCTGTTTTGATAATTTTGCTTGATGAATATATCAAAGAAACATTGGTTAAAATTCTACATTTTTAATAATGTTTTGTGAGTGAAATAGTAGGAAAGTCGATGAAAGTCTAAAGTCGTAAGATGTTTTACAAATAAAATATGCGTATGAGTGGTACAAAAGCTTTACTAGGACTTGTGAAGTAGTTGTTAACACCGTATGAGGAAGAGATATTCAAAACTATGGTCGCCATTTTAGCTAAACATATCTCAGAATTGCAACCAATGTCATATGAAAGAGATAAACATATTGACTCAAATGAAGTCTACTTTCCAAGATTTCATATAAAAGTGAATGAAAGATATGGAATTAAAAAATATTTTTGGTTAATAATATATTTCATTATGAAAGTTAGATTTTACATAATGAATCTGATCCTCTATTTCATGGCTACACTGCTAATGAGATTTTATTGCGATCTCTTCTGTATGCGTAATCGATTAAAATATAATTGTTACGCTTCTTATATTATTAACTTCCCCCAAAATACAATGGTCTCGCAGTGCAATGAGTTCTTGGCCTCATAGAATTTCCGAATAAATGGTGTTGCAATCGGGATTTGTAAACATTCTCAAGTTAATTGAACTTAGTTTTTAATGACGTGTTAGAAATAATGTAGAAGACATCATTTTTTCCTTTTTTTTTTCTGAGAAATACAAGCACAACATTTTTGTTCGGTGTGGTTTTTTTTTACAAGAATAAACGTAATTGTTACATTTAAATGCTTTTTAGATGAGGCTTTACGTTTTCGGTTGTCATAAATTCAAACACAACTAAATTTAATACCATCATCGCTAGAATAACAGTTTTGGCAGTGTAATTTATGATTGCGTACCCGAACATCAGTACCATTTAGGCCATCACCCAATTGAACGTGACACACACAGCACTTAAAACAGTTGATATGATAAAATAATAGCAAAGATTCAATAATCATAGCAGCTCCACGTCCTGATAACGACAATGAAATTGAAAAAAATTTATTACGAAAATAAAAAGAAAAATAAATAAAACGTGATAAAATGAACAAACAAAAATTGACTAATTGCTATAAAGAAGTATACAAGTCCAACACAAGATTAACGAAAAAAGCAAACAATCCCTACAGACCGCGATTTGGACAACTCAGCATTTTTGACAACAGGCGTTTTTACCGGTTCTTGTTTGGCGAAAAGGCTTACAATCTAAGTATAATAAAGCATTTCATATCTTGGCTATTGAAATTTTTAGCCTCTATAGTTATAAAAAATTTTTAAACCTGTAACGAGAAGAATAGTTAGCTCCGCTTCATGCTGACTCTTAATGTCTTTAATGTCAAATACTCGTACCAACTGCGCAGCGGACCTTAACACAAGTTCAAAACATGTTTCATATATTCTTGTTTGAGCCACATGTTATTAATGAAGACATCAAAAAGTCTAACAAACTTGAAGTTGAAGAAGAGCACAAAACTCATATGTTTTTTTGTTTCAATCAATTGATTTTGACATTTATGGTTTAAATAAATAGTCGTTTTTTTATTTTTGTTGATGGCTTTGTAAGCAATTCACGCCTGCTTTCAAAACTAATCGTTGGGTAGTAAACGGGAGTAAATATGACTCAACTTTCAGCTTTATATGAGAATTGGAAAAAGAAGAAAACTTGGAAGTTTTGGATTAAAATCAATTGTAAACTTTGATATTTCGGCAGATGAGCACTCTTTTCTTGCAATCTGGTCTAGGGAAGTTTTTTAAAATTTCCTTTAAAGCCTTTAGAGAGCCGCTTTGCATCCACGAAGTGGTTTACTATTTCTGTATTCCATTTTTTGGTGTATGCAAAATTTAGAGAAGCGGTGAGGGGGTGGAAGAAGGCTAAGGTACGCCCACATTTTATAAAGCTTTTTCAAAAGAGTCCGTTTAATCAAACCACAACTACACGTCCCGATATTAGAATAATATATAAGAAATTATAAAATTAAATAAACTGATAAGAAAAATGAAGACATCATATTTTTAAAAAAAGAAAACCCAATAAATTCCAGAAACAAAATTTAGTAATTGTGATGGCATCTGCATTTTTCATAAATTAGAAAAAATTTCATGAATTTTTCATGTATGTTTTCCATGGATGAATATGCAAAGAATTACACCCAAACTATATATTTCAACTCTCGATGAATGTGACGACATTTTTCCGGTGAGCAACCCAAATCTTTATAATTATTAAACATTATTTATCCGGAAAGGCATGTAAAAGATAAGAGAGGAAAATTTTAAAAAGTATAAAGTAATAAAGCTTTAATAACTATTCAAAATTATTGAAAAAGTATATGAAACTAACGAAACTCTAAATACTGCAGACAAAAACTTGATTCCCAGAGAATTTTACTTCGGTGTAATGTAGCTTAGAAACGCTTGTAATAGGAGAAATTGAATATTGTTCACTTGTTAAAAGCACCTTCCGAATATGATATGTAATAAACGCGACCAGTTGCCAGTTGTGTTAGATTGCAACATAAATATCGAACTGAGAGCTGTGTAATAATATATGGAAAATATCAACAATTGTGGTAATTATAGGGATCTCAATCTCTCTTCATAATTTCATTACCGTGCATGATTGTTCTCTATTTTGCCGTACGATGAACCTTCAAGACGACATGCGAAGGTGGTGCACTCCAAAACCTCAAAATATTAGGATAGAATTGTAAATCGATAACAACTGACGTAATTTATGATATCCAAATTTTCAAGGCTTTTGGAAGCTGTTTTGTTGTTCTTACCAAGATTGCGAAAGATCTCCGTAGTTTTAAGCCTTACACCATTATCGTAGAGGGTATATTAAGCTTGTGTGGACGCAAGCAGCAGTCAGAAGGGCGTATGATTTTTTACCAATTAAGAATCATTTTGTCAACGATTTTTTGAACACTGTTTAATGTAAGTGTGTTAACAAAAAATGGGGTTAATACGAGAAATCTAAAGGCAAATAATAGCCGGGCAGAGATTGATTTGTTTATATATGAGGCGTTTTTTATAGTCGCAACCGTGTAAGACTCATTGTTCGATTACCTCGAAGGTTATTTTTTCTTATTTTCATTCTATTTCTTAGGAATCAAATTTTGTTTGACTAAATGGAACTATTTTTAATGCTAAGCTTTTTGATCAACTTTCTAGCTTTTGAAAACAACAACTGAAATGTTGTGAAACGTATGACGAACTGGTGAATTACTTAACTTTTTGTTTAGACCGAAAAGAAAACACATATAACACTCACAACCAATGTAGATGCATAGTTTACCTAATTCCTCGCCACAATGGGAACATTTTTTCTTTCCACTAACACTCAAAACTTTATCCTGGGTTGTTGCTGTTGATGGGGATGACGAAGACGTCGCGGTGGCGCTTTGACCATTTGTGTTCACCCTATGCGAAATAGAACGTTGGCTAGTGCCTGTTAACATAGCAGAAGCTTGTTGCGGATTTGCGGCATTCAGGTGTGTCGGCGTCATTTTGCTACCAGACGGATACGGATGTTGATGGAACGTAGAAATACCGGGTAGGGGACTTTTATCCAAATGATTTCTAAGGAGAAAATAATTTTTTCTTTGCAATTGGTTAAAGATAATTTTCTTTATTACCGTTTACGTTCTCCCAGTCCTTTGCTTTGCACTCTTTCGGTAAGAGTTTGTATTATCGAGTCAGGCAATGGTTTACCATTGTTAATGGCAGATGACGATGACACTGTTGATGTGGCAGTTGCTGTTGTTAAGCCATTGGTTAATTTAGTGGATCCATTCATAGATTGATGCAAAGCTGTATTGTTAGAAGAGATGGTGCTGCGCTTAAACTGAGCATGAGGTTGTTCATTTACGAGCCACTGATTGCTGCCGCTTCCGTAAGCGTCAGGCATCGATTTGCGTTTCTGTTGATACGCGGACAGCCAGGCGGAATCATTGGCCAAATTACTGTCGATGGACTTACGATTTTGTACTTGAACCCAGCCGTCAGTATATTTGGGTTTAGGAGCGGCACTCAGAGCATGTAAAGTGTTGCGAGACATATGACCTGGATACATGGGTTGACTATTGTTCATGCTGGTTGTTGATGTTACACTGTCTTTTTTATGGGTAGCGAGGGCGGTTGAAGTATTTAAATTCTGCGCCGATTGATGAAGGTAATTGGAGTAGATAGTGCCTCGACATGGTGTAACAGGTTGGGCAATCTTCACTAATGAACCACCAAACTGTTGAGTGTTTAGCGAATGTGTTTGCCGTGTACCAAATTCCAGTTGGTCACTACCAACATTCACATGCGTAGCGCGCATTGGCTTTGATGGTGGCATTGGAGGTGCAATCATGCATTTAGAGAACTCGTTGATATCCGACATTGACTTTCGATAATCAGTGTCCATGTGATAGTATTGCTGTTGTAAGTTCGATATGTTAGCATAGATTTGCTGAGAATGTTGTGGCTGTGGTGGCAACATTTTTCCTGCATAATGATGACTTAACACAACGGCTTGGCCTCTAGGTTCCAAATATGCACTCTCCAGACCACTACCCTTAAGACTATCTAAGTTTACATTATCTGCGTTTATCGAAACATTGTGTTCCTTTAATCCATTTAAGTCCTGTAGCGATCTTCGATTAGCTGACATCAACATTTTTGCACCATGTTGCAATTCACGTCGCGCTATATTCTCACGTAACATTAAATTTTCACGTTGTCTTTTCAATTCCTCCTGTTCCAACTGTAAAAGTTCTCGTTCGACGCGCAACACTTCTTCTTGTTCACGTATTTTTTCTTCAATAGACATCATTTTGGCATTTGCTGTGGCTGTAGCTTCAGTTAGGGATTTAGTTGCCGCGGCAGCCACTGTAGCTGATTCAGTCCAAGATTCTGCCGAATTACCTTTAACAGTTTGAAGTAAAGGTGTGGGAGCGACCTGTAATAAACCGTCGTTTTGATAGATAAGTTCCGAGGCTGGTGGATCCGAGGGTGATTGAGTTTCTAGCGTCAAAGGCGATGTACTAACATCATGAGAATCATTTTCTTCGGATGAATTAGTGTAGTGTTCACTGCTTTGACGTGAATGGTTTTCAGAAACGCCAGAATCACGACTTTCACCTACAACGGAAATAAAACATAAGAATAAGTTCAAGTTTAGGTAAATTTGTCGGCTAAGCGTAATCCAACCCTTATCAAAAAAGAAATTCTCTGCCGTTATTTAATATGTTTTTGAAATGATCGGTGTCCATTGTTGTTTATTCTTTCGCATAAAGGAAATTGTTTGTTAAGGTCTTCATTCGTTCCCACATTATGGCAATTTAAGCTAAAGTAAAGAGGATAACTGCAGATTAACGTAGAGAGAAAGAATATGATCCCAATATGGGCTTCCATAACAGTGCATAACAAAGAAGATCGGGAGAAGAGCGGGATCGCCTATTGAGCCTTGATATAGTAAAGCTAAGCATTTCGCAATTGCGTCTTCAGAAAATGTAATGTAAATTGCCAAGAATGTCGAACTTAAGAAGAATCAATCGGACAAGAGTTCTCATTCGAGGTTTCATGCTTGGAATTATCAGTTATTTACCAGATCATGAACCATAATTGTTTTCTTGTTACTTTGGGTTGCATGAACTGATTGTACGTTTAAGTTCAGTACGATCGATTAAAGTCCTGCCCTATTATGAAGAAACCTGTCCAGGATTATCAAATGGCTCTTTTGCTTTGAAAGTTCCTAATTAAAACTAAAAAAGATTTAGCATTTTATCTACAATAGGATATAGACTACAATGATCTTACCAGTGTCTGAACTGTCGCATAGACCTGCTTTTAAATACAGCTGCTTTTCTAGACGCCTTTCTTCCTGCAGCAATTGAGCCATATCTGGCGGAGGAGCTACGGTCAATTCCAAATAAGTTTCATCGTCTTCTAAATTGGAACCTTCTATGCCCAAAAAACTGGAGCGTTTGTTGCGCAACTCTTTCTTAATACGTTTGGTTGAATTCATGCGTTTAATGGGTGGTGAATGTGGCAAATGTTGGTGATCAATCAAACCAGAAGGTGATTGAAGTAAATGATTAGAATGATGATGATGATGATGATGATAATGATGTTGATGACGTGTCAAAGTTTCATAAGTATTGTCTGAAGAATAAGCATCCGTTTGAGCGTCAAGTTCATCAATAGGTGGTGGACTTTCACATGGCGGTGGTGGTGGTTTCTCTTTTGGCGGTTCTAGAGTTGCAGAATTTTCTAGAGATGATAATTCATTGTTTGCTGAAGCATTAAAAAACATTTCAATGTTTTCATAAACCGGTATGGGTTTTAAATGTTTAGGTGCGTCATAGTAGGGTTCACAAGACTTTGGTACTTGATAGTAGGGTTCCAAATCGATGGCTGTCTCGGTATGAGTGTTAGCGGTAATTGTCAGGTTCATCGTTGGCTCGTTAAAAGTTTTCAGTGCCGTGCAATTCTGTTTAGGGTTTTTACTAATTTCATTAAATGTTGTCTCCTTGGCTTGTGTTATCAGTTGCAAATTATTGGTACTGTTATTTGTAGTAACTGTAGTTGATGATGCAGTAGTAGTTGTAGCAATAGTGGTAGTACCAGTAACATTTACAGTAGCAGCGATAGTGATAAGAGCATTAGCGGTAATGGTGGCAGCAGCAGCAGCAGTAGCTGCGGCAGTAGTTGTTAAGGCGTCCATTTCAATTTTTGCCATTGGATTAGCGAAAGCATTGTTAGTTAAACCAACTATAGTACTATTGTAATTGTGATTTATCTTGTTAGTCTGACTATCATACGATTCATTATTACTATTGATAACACTATTGTTATTATTGTTGTTCATTATTATCGAAATTTGATCGTTGCTGTTTGATATCAATGATTTACTAGTCGTACTTGGAATGTTTTGAGATACTCTCGATAATGCTGTTACGGGATTGACATTTTCGTATATGGGTTCTTTGGAAATTTCTTCCTCTGTTTTCTCTTCCTCTATGGATGATACTGATTTCAAAAGTCCTTCTCCTTTTTCTTCATGTTGTCGTTGTTGACAAAAAATTTCGTTCGTCTGTAAATATTGCAAATTTTCAACCTTTTCTTCATCGGTTTTATTGATTAAAATCTCGGCATTGCTAGAAGTGTTAACGGTAGCGGAGGGCAGCATTGTTGTTGTAGTAGCGGTGGTGGTTATGGTAGCTGAAACCCCTTCAATAATTAATGACTCTGTACGCTTAGACTCTTGGTCAATTGCTGCCAGCGCCAATTCTAGAGCTTCGTTGATCTGTTAGGTTTGAAGGGATTTTTAAATATATTTTTTTGCGTAGATTTGTTGTAATGTTTTCAGTAATTTTAAATATGCACGCACAAGTGTAAAATGTTGTGAAATAAGAGGAAGAAAGAGAGAGAGAAAGAAAGATAGGGGGAGATACAAAGACAAGTAACATTTAAGCCAATTAATACAATAGCATTGTAACCAACACAGAGTTTGCATATAATCCGTCCCCAAAGAGTGCATGGAATCGACACAAAAACATCCAGAATTAATTAAATGAAAAAATCTTCTTTTTAACGTAAATTCAAAAAATAAATTTTTAGTGGAATTTTACATGATTTCATATATATACACATGCACCATAAACAAAAAACGGCATAAATACAAAAGAAAAAGCCAAAGACAAATTATACGTCACACAAAAATTGATAAATATTTGCGCGACTGAACTATTTTCCAAATTTCTCCTTATATTGATAAAAAAAGAGTCATTTCATAAGAGATTAGAAATTTTGTAAATTAGCGTACAAGTCGACGCAGAATTTAACTGGAATTCTTCGACTTTATTCGCCTACATATTTATGCAAGTATTTTTAAAGCAAGACCTTTGCACAACAAGATCGATTGAGTTTCTTTTCTATAAAGTTACCAAGTTTTTTACAAACTCAATATTCGGGACAGTGAAGCCGTATAGAACGTTGAGTGCCTATGTCATGAACCCTTACAGTACATTATGTGCCTAAAGCATAGTCTACGTCATTATAGTTTTTTTCGAAACTTTAACTTAGGGAAGGTTCAGATGACATTTTTGTAAATAAAGCGACATTTTTTAATTCCAATACGATATTTTACAGAAAGCATGCCAAAATGCACTTCATAACAAGAAAAATGTACCTTTACGAAGGTGGACCTTCAAATGTATACACATGCATGAAATGTATATACATTTCATAAATATATAAAATGCGTTATTTCACAATTTTTTGTTTAAGTAATATATCTAAATAATGCAATTCTTTATATGAACAATTCATTCCTAGTTAATAACATTATACCCAACGTACCTACGGGAGACGAAGTAAGAAAACTATTTCACTAAAAAAAGAATTGCGAAAAAAATATATTTGTTTTCAATAGCAACAATTTGTATACGCAATTGAAGAACATTTAGTTTCTAGTTAAATAAAATCTTTCTAACCTGTCTGTATACAGTTTTATACCGTTTTCAATGAAAGTTAAGTCTACACGCATATCCATGTCATCTTACGCATGGTGCGGTATGACTTCCTTAACTTGATGTCAAGCTCTAAAAGACGTAATTAAAACTAAGTCTAATCAAATCCACATGCGACAAGACTAAATGTAGATGTAGATGTAGAGAAATATTTTTTCTATCGATGATAGTAGAAAAGCATTCTTCTTCAGGCTTCTAATACATTCGATAATTCCATTTGCGAATAAGCCAAATTACTGCTGAGTTGAACGGGATAGAAAAACTTATTTGCCCACTGTACTTTTATATGCAAATCGTATTCAGCATATTTTTCAAATCGATTTTGAAATTCATTTGTGAAAGAGTAACAAGAACACGTCAGCATTATTATTTTAAATAAAAATTAAACTCATCACAGTTATTAAATTTTGTTTTCCAAAGAAATTAAAGAAGCCTTACAAAGTTATAATAACGTATTAAATATGTACCGAAAACATAATTTCAAACTGAAAAGATGAAGTTTAACGCCAGTTTAATTAAAAAACGGAAAAAACATCGCGCATTGATGCACTACAAGCAGTGGACAGTGAAATTTTGATGTCTTACATAAAACAAAAATGAAATAAATTTCTATTTTCAAGAATTATTGATATATAGACTTGTCTCTGTGTACGTATGCATAAATACATGGTATTGAAAATGTGATTTGCAAAAAAAGCAAGCTGTACGCTGCTGATAACAAAATGCTAATCAACAACTGCTCCGGGTAACAAGCTCTCTCTAACACCATATCCTCCAGAAGGAGTAAAATTTTTATAAGTTTATCGACCATACCCCTGCACCACAAAATCACAGGATACTCCCACCCCGGTTAAGCTTCAAAACTTAAATGGACTAAATCAGTCAAACAATCCATTGAATTTTTTAGAATACAAATGGCACATCAAACCATTTAAACAACAACGGGGCAGTATTACATTCGTTTCTTAGAAGGAAACATGGTTGCATAAAAGCAATTTCGCAACGATTGATGTATTCACCGGAGCTTCACACCTCTGCCCGGCGGCAATGTTTTTACTTTAAATACCCAAATAAAGTCTATAAAAAATAATTTTTCAAAAAACCTTTTATTTCAATGGACTGAAGGCTGGAAAATAACTCTTGTCCCAGTCACTTTTCTTGATGCACGCATAAACGGTTGGCACACTTGGAATGTTAGCGTGGAAGAAACTCGACTTTGTCTAAAATTTGATCCACAGTCACATGGAAATAAGTTCGACCAAACTTCTCCTTCATCCGCGAGTCAGCAAATCTACCACAGATGGTTCATACCGTTCATTTATATGTTATATATATAAAATAATTGTGCTTAGTCCACCCTCTGAGTGAAGTGCGGGAAGTGACTTTTCACATGTTTTTGAAAATCGAAATTTATTTTCTGCCATTCATTTCATTTCATTTCATTTTTTTTTTTTTTTTTTTGAAAGGACCAATCATTCAGTGGACAATGCAGTAATGGTCGGAAAGAAGTCGAGAAAGGAGTGGTGGTGGTAAATTCCTTTTTTTATGCTAGAATTAAGGCATTTGGCTTGTCGCACTTTATCTTTCAACTTTTTTATTTAACATTTATATCAACAAGATTGCCAGAAAAGGTTGCACAATATTTCGTGAGGAGTGCCATATTTAATAAAGAGTGACGAAATTTGTCGCATTCTGCTCGGCAAGGCCTTTCAATTGACATCGTCATCAAGGGGTTTGTTAAAAAAGAAACAATCCATTGTTTTGTAGCACCCGTCATCCTGAATGAGCACCAAATTTGACTGCATCAGATTGCATTGTCATCGGTATATTCGAAGTAAAAATATATATAAATATACTCTGGAGATATTCTTTCAAAATATATTAAACTTAAGAGAGGAGTAAAGCAAGTTTTTCAATTATAAATTTGTTTTGTTCTTTTGTCTCCTTAAACTTTCCAAATAGCCTCGTATGAAGGATATTGATTTCAAGTAGGACAAATAAAGAGGTTTTTATTGCTCCGCTAAACGACTCAGAACAATCAAAATACTATTTCATTGATATTGTTATTATTATAATTTATATAGATAGAGAAAAAATGAATCTTCTTCATTAATCTCATGGCATGTAAAGATTTTTCGCTTATTCGTACACACTTTGCAACAATCTTTTCTGCTCACCTCACGTTTTGAAGTCATAGCCGTGTATATTTAAAATTATTTCTTAAAAATCTTTTTTCATGAAAATTCAATGAAAATAGACGAATTAAGTTTTGCAAGAACTAACGTCGCCAAATAATCAATTAAGACTAAGAACTAGTGCGAAATGGTTCGCGTATTTTTAACTATTATTCATTTTAGAAAAAGAGACAAAAAGGGAAATGAAAACGGAAACAAAACTATTTAACAAACAAGTAAAGAGTTTACTTTTAGAACAGCATTTACCCTAAAACCACAAAACAACATCAACAAAGCAATTTAACTAATAGCAAGCAACACGAAAACAAACAACATATAAAGAAATGAGCGGGTTAAAATGTCAGGTTTTAGAGAATAGCCTAAAAGCATGCTATGGAAATGCAAAATGTTGCAAATAAGGCCGAATCGAGGCTGCTTAAAAAAGAAGAAAAATATGAAATTGAAGACAAAAGTTGATGTCTAGAAAGGGCGTAAAATATAAAAAAAAGAATAATACGTAAATAAAATAGAAATTGAAAATAGAACTTAAAAAAAAGCTAACGCAAGAGGTCAAATGAAAATGAAACCGAACAAAAAAATGAAGAAGTAAAAACCGTAAAAAGAAAATTCTCATGCAAATGAAAGTAAACTTTGCCTTTATAAGATATCATGACCCATTAAAAGTTTTTCCATTTGACAGGCTTACCTTGATTATCGTGATTGATAAGCATTGGTGGGCAGTAATTAGACAAATTAAACTGCTTTCATAATTATTGATGTACATATATAATATATAAGAAATAGGCTTTGCAGATGTTGTAGAATATTTTAAAAAAATTTACAAAAAAAGCGAGCGTAGCCAAGATTTAATTTTTAAGAGTAATATGGCATTTTTTATTATTATTACAAGTTCAGGCATGTAAAGAAAGTTAAAGAAAATTTTTGTAAAAATTTTTAAGGAAAATTTAGAATAGACTTACAAAAAATACCTAAATAAATTTTAAAATATAATAAATTCTATTATTGCCTATCAATATCTTACCAAAAAGCAGCATTATTGAACTAATACGTAATGCGGGACCTGCCTCTACTAAATAAAGTCTTCAGTAATTAAATCACTGAATGGCTGTAAAAATCAGTTTTGGAATAATTGCTTAACCATCAACGGACGTTTCGTAATACAGAATTTGAGTAGGAAACAAGGGGTTCCAAAAATATGAGCACTCTTGGATACATGTAATTCCAAAAAGAAATTAAAAAAACTCTAAAGTCAATGTCATTTGATTGTTTGGGATAACTTTTGCGCGCATATTTTTAATGAGCTTTGGTGAACATTTGATATAAGTTATAAACACACTCTTTTTGTACGGGTCTTATACGCGTATTACGCCTATTTGTAAATTTAGCATGTAATCTTTAATTAAGACCATATACGAAATGAATTTCGCTGTTTTTTCTGATTTCAACAAAGCTAAAAATTAATTTCCAATGTGTTGAAATAAAATTATTTACAAATATTTTCTATCGGTTCTGAAAGAAAAGATCAATACAAAACAAGTTCCGATCAACAAACTACCACGTAAAACGAAGTATTGATGTTG